CCTTCCTTCCTTCCTTCCTTCCTTCCTTCCTTCCTTCCTTCCTTCCTGAGCAGGGGGTTGGTGGACTATTATCCTCCCGCCCACCCCTTCTCTACGGCAAAACGTTGATGAACTGGCTGAGTTTCCCAGAGACTCTATGACCGCCTTGGAAGCCTGAGAACGGCATTTCGGTCACTTGTCCATTCCTGCCGCTCTTATTGTCCAAGAGATCAATTTGGGGGTCGTAGCCCGGGGGTCCCCTTACCTTTAGGATATTTCTGCTGTAATGGGTGCCCCTCTCCCAGCTTCCCAGAGCAACCTTCACGTCCCAGTGCAGAAAACCATTGCAAGCTTCTGTGTAGAGCAGGAAGAAATCGGGGTACAGGTGATGGGTGACATCTAGAGTAAGCCCAGCTGGGGTGACCGAATCGAAGTACCAATGGATGCCAATGCCGGATACGTAAGCCGCCGCGGTACTATTGCCAATCACCTGTCAGGGGACGGAGGGAAAGAAGTGGAGTTTCAATACAGGCCGTCCTCTCACTTAGGCGCAACACGACTTGACCTTGAATCAATTTGTCATATAAGTCCAAGACTGCCCGTCGTAGGGTAGATACATCCTACAGTTCAAAGACCTACCTGGTTGGCCCAGTTTGGCAACTGACACCTCTGGTCATCCAGGATGATCAGGTGAACATCTGAGTGGCAGCTGGCCGCGAGGGCGGGGCCCAAGTCCTTAATGATGAAGTCGCGTTGATGTTGCGGTGAGAAGAAATTAACTGGAAAGTTTTCAATGCACATCAAAAGGAAGGAGTTTGGTTCATTCTGAGAGCTTAACGCCCAGAAAGTAATATTATTTTTAGCATACTCATCTAGGAACCTAGATTCAAAGACAGAACGTTGCAATAATGTTCGTTTAGCATGCGGCATCTACGCCCGGAAAACAAAACCCAAATATTTCAAACCCCTTGTATTTATGAAAATCCCTATTTCCCAACTCTCTGGATGATCGAAACGCGTGTATTCCATCAGAATTGGCAAAGCGACAGAAATAAATCCATGCTTGAGTTAAATATGCCAGGTTTAGCTTCCAATTTGGCTTAAAAGAACTGGAGAAATGGGTGGACTTCGACTCTCAGAATTTCCCCAGGCAGGATCTGTCGTTGACTTTTGAGTCATTGACGGCTACAATGTCCTACCTGTCAATGGCTACTTCAGCTTCAACCGCAACAATATCATTTTCTCAATTTCGAATCTCTACCTCTATTTCCTAGCTCTTAATGAAGTAAATCCTGTGTTAAGAAGTATACTGTATCTATCCATCATCTCTTATTCTTTTTAGTATTTCAACTCTGATGGATTATGATTTGGCTCGAGTCGAGACTCATGATTTAATTGGGGTAACTGTCGGAATCTGACACAGGGATTTTCAAGAACATCTGTGGGAGGGGTCAGATCATGATTTGGGGTGGAGTTTAAGAAGGGGTGGAGCCACAAAGTGGGTGGGACAAAGTTAGGGGAGGAGCCTGCTAAATTCAGAGTTTTGGAAGAAACTCCTAGGCACCAAGAGATTGAAAAAGCGTTATTACCTGATAAAATAGCGAGCCCAGGTCTTGTGGTAGCGGTCACCTGGATTGCCCTTTATCCTGGATTGGCCGTAAACCCTGTTGTTGACCCTTAGCCAGGCAGGACTGGTCCAGGGGCTGCCAACCAGGGAGAGGGGTCTCTTGGTGATGGCCATGATACGATGGAGCAAGGGGATCTGTGGAGAGAGACACCAGCTGTCTCCGGGGAATGGCCTGATCAACGCTCCACAAGAACATTCACACCATCTCCTTGTGGGTTTGTTGACTTCGACCATGTTGATCCCAGAGCTCTGTCGATAGTCCTCATGTTATGACCACCATGGAGCCTGCCCATTACGGTCGTTAAGTTGTAGCAGTTGTAAAACGGTTACCGACCCAACCGATCGACATTTTTCAGCTTGGTTTGGGGCACTCACATTTCCCCAATAGAAACTGGGATTGAATCTGTCCGTGTGTTGTGAGAAGAAAGAATTTATCACTTTGTCTTCAACATTCTTCAACATGGTGACTAAATTAGTAGACCAGCGAAATACTGTGGACATAATATACTTAGATTTCAGCAAGGCATTCGACAAAGTAGACCACAACCTACTTCTTGGTAAGCTAGGAAAAAAGTTCAGTCCAGCCGAACTCACCCTAACTTTGGTGTCTTCGGGGGCCAGCTCGAAACACTTGAGTTCGAAGTCATCCACGCAATGGTCGTCGTAACTGTACGGCCGCGTGGAAAAGTCAGAGCAACCAATGGGCCAACGCAGCAAATTGTACTCACTTCCTGCAGAAGCGGAGAGACAGAGAGAGAAAGGGAAAAAAATTCTGGTCTTCTAATTTTCACAATCAGAAAAAGAAGAAAAAAAGGATATAAAACTTAGGTCCACCAAAAGAATAATAATAATAATGAAAAGAATAATAATAATGAAAAGAATAATAATAATGCCATCGATACTATCTCATCAAACTGGAAAAGTGTAGAGGTTTCCACTGATGCGAAAGTGATCAGGAAAATATTAGAAAACGTTAGAAAATATTAGCAGAAATGAACAGGCTAACACTTGCAATTAAAGAGAAGGAACAAACCGAATACTATTTGATATGGGAATTGTTTTAATCGATGGCTTAGAAATATGGGAATTAGAAATTAAAAAAAGATGAGTGAAATATAAAAAAAACATGCTAACAGAACCAAATGTGGTAAGATACGGATTGTTATACTAATTAGACATATTGTGCGTATCAGTATTAAGTAAGGATAGAGTATCAATACCAATACAATGAATATGTGTAAACTGTATTTGTTATTGCACAAGATATTGGTACCCAGACAACACACTGTTTAAAGGGAAGGTGGATTGTTTGTTTTAAAATAAAATAAAATAAAAATAAAGATAGTTCTTTATCAGAGGTCATCTTATTCCTTCTCCTTCTCTTTCCCCTTGTTTTATTTCCCTTTTTTATTAATTTTTTATTCAACATAGCAATTGAAAACATTGAACGTGGTGAAGTGGTTTTGACTTTTGGTCTGTATGAGTATATACATTCCTATATACATTAGTTTTTGTCTATACACCTATATACATTTATTCACACCTACATTACATTCTCCAAGATCCTTAGTCTTATTTTCATCTCATACTCTAATTTACCCTCTCAATAATTTTAAGTCCATCTTAAGTCCTTTCTGTCCCCACCAGTGGTAAAATCTATTCCAAATTGTATAATATTCCGATTTGTCCTTATTTTTCATCTCTAAGGTTAGCCTATCCATTTCAGCGCATGTCAGAATTGTATTACTTCATCCTCACTTGGTATTTCTTTCTCCTTCCATTTCTGGGCGAATATCATTCTTGCCGCAGCGATAACATGTATTATCAAATAAAGCTCATCCTTATTGTATTTTGGGGGTATAATTCCCAATAAAAAGTATTCTGGTCTATGATCTATTTTAAATCCCAGCATTTCTTCCAGCCACTTCCCTGTCCTATGCCAGAACTATGGTGCATTTTAACAGCTCCACCAAGCATGATAGTATGTTGGAATTCTGCTGAGCAATTCCAACATTTTGGGGATTAACTTTTATACATCTTAGCCAGTCTGACTGGGGAGAGATACCATCAATAAAACATTTTCATTAAGTTCTCATTTTCTCACCTTCTTCTGAGAAGTAAGAGCGGAGGAGTTGGTTTTGGGCTGTGTAAGACAACTTCAGGATGTTGATGGCCGCAGCGTCAGTGAATGCCCCTCCAAAGCCTTTGATGTATTGGTACTGAACGAAAGGATCGTAGGTGTAGAAAATTCCACCTGAAAGGATTTACAGAACGGACATCATAACAGAGTGCGAAGGGACCTTGTAGGTCATCTAGCCCAACCCCCCTCCCCCAGGTTTACCTGAAGCTCCTGAGCTGGCGCCTGTTTTCCCTTCGCTCCGCTCCAAGCGTTGGCCATCCCTGCTGGTTGTGTACTTGACATAGTAGCCGACGTCAGGGAGGGAGACCGGATCCACCGTGTCGCAGTAGGTTGCGTTGCAAACGCACACCATGGCATTCGCGCCGACGAATTTAGGACTACAGGGCTGGCTTGCTAAAATGGAAACGGGGGGGGGGGGAATAAGCGAATACAGTCCCTCCCACCAGCAGAATG